ACGGCAGGAAACACCAATGGGTTTTCTGTTGCTATATCATGTTTCTACATATAGACTAACATGAGGCTACATGCAGCATCCCTACAGTATTCACAGCCTAAGTGTAAAAGGCACGGAGTCCTAATGTATGACATTTATGAATTATGAAGGATGGACTTTGTATTGCTACAGTGCCATGGAATCCACCAGACCAGCAATATCAGTCTCATGCCTTTCCTCATGACCCACCTTTCCTCATCACGCTGCACTGAACTGCCCTGTCTCTCCCAGTCCCTCCCAGCTGCTGGTTGCTGCCCACACAGCTCCACTGCTGTGGCCATGGAGCAAAGGAGGGCTGGAAAGCAGCCACGCTCTGTCTCACTTCCTTTCCCAGATGGGCAGAGTGCCTCTGTCTCCCCTGAAAAGTCCCAGTCCAGAGCAGAGTGTCCATGGGGTCAGCAGCTGCACTCTGTGAGTGTGAGTGGAAGGCAGTGCCCAGCTCCAAGGTGGGCAGTGGATGCAAAGGCTTTCCCAAGAGAAAAGAATAGTGGTAGATGAGAAAATCCTGAGCCTCAGGAGCAGATGAAGATCAGGAGCGGACCTCTAACAACGTCTCATGCTGCAGCATCCAAAAGGCAGCAAAGTCTCCCAGGCACAGGTACCAGCCTGCCAACAAGGTCTGCTGCAGCTCAGGGAGAGGAAAAGGGAAGGAGGGGCACTCATGTTTGAAAGAGAAGGTGTTGTGGGTATCAGTGGACATTTTTAATTCTCACACCCTGTGACAATGCCCAGTGAACAGGTAGGATGTGTGTGAGACGTACACCTCTGCCACTATTATAGGGCAGAATGGAAAAATGATATATTCTGTCTCCTCTGAAACATTAAGAGAAGCAGAATAGCTTTGCAACTGCTCACAGCCATACTACTTAACAAGGAGCTGCAGGCAGTTATGAAATAGGTATAAACAGTGTTCCAGGGCTCCTGAGGTTCCATATGCATTAATCAAAGATAAGTCAGAACGATGATAGCACCAGAGCCATCAGGTTAGCTTTGCCTGCAACTGAAGACAGACATCGCAACAAAGTGCTTCTCTTTCCACTGTTTATTTCCAGCTGTTTTGCAACTTGTTGCAACTGTAGAGCTCATGACCTTCCTCAGGTTTTTCAAGCTATGTAATCACTCCAGCGACATGTTTAACAGAAGACCAGTTTTGCATTAGATTCTTAGCAGATTTCAGCCGTGATCTTCCTTACTTTTTGTCTGTATATGACTAAATTCAGCACCTGCGGTGTGACTGCAGTCCTCCAGCTACATAATACATACACCAGATAGAGGGAAATCTTGCCTGTATTGCTTCTTTAGTTTTCTTCTGGAAGGCGTCACCAACTGGAAGGAGAAGTACCACAGAATCACAGAATACCAGGTTGGAAGGGACCTCAAGTGCCATTTGGTCCAACCTTTCTTGGCAAAGCATGACCTATATTAGATGTCCCAGCAGCCTGCCTTGCCAAATCTTAAAAGTGCCCAAGGTTGCGTAATCTGCTACTTCCTGAGGGAGATTATTCCAGTGGCTGTTTGTTCTTATTGTGAAAATTTTCCTCTTCTGTCCAGCTGGAATCTCCCCAGGAGTAACTTGTACCCATTACCACTCATCAGCTTGATGCCACCATGGTGGTAAAAGCTGACACTTCAATGTGGGTAACGCTTCTCATTGGCAAGTCAACAGAACATTTTTCTTGGTGAGTTTTGTTACTTTGAGGTGAAAAATTCTGGATCCAGCTCGTATTTTCCTATCTTAACCCACTGGAAAGTGTTCTGATACTGCCAAAATTAAGCTAGTAATATCCATTTATTATAGCAGAGAATACAGCACAACTCTGTAGTATAGCCAATACTTTAAGGTAAGCTTCTTTAAAATTAGACCAATGTAATGGTAGCTACTGCAGATTAACATAGGTGTAAGCACAGAACTGGAGCATAAGATGAAGGCCTCAGGGTCCTTCTTTCTGGATCTCTATAGCTGTTCCACACCTCTATTGCTACTCTGAATCCAGTAAGTGTGATGAAAGTAGCCTGCATAGCCAGAAAAGGCGTTTCCCCTTTGCCACCAGTTACTGTGAACACTTAAGTAGGCAAATATTGGGCAATCCTTGTGACTCTGATGATGTTCTGGTATATCTCTGCTTGAAAAACAAGAGTCAAGACAAGTCAGTGTCTGAGCAGAATTATTTCTGCTGTAACAAAAAAAAAAAAACCAACCACCCAACAAGTTATTTGCAAAGTAGTTCTTATAACAAATGTTGTAAAGAAAAGGTTAGTAGGTCAACAGATGAAAACGTGACAGCACTTCTTACAGCATTTTCCAAACTCCTACTCAGTCTACTTTTGAAACTAAACAGCATTCATCCCTGGGGACCTTGCTTACTACATCCTAGATCTTGGGAAATACACACTTTCTATTACTAATCATTTTTGCCTTTCCTTGAATTTCCGCCCTCTGCTCTTCTTTCACTAGTCATGTCCTCATACAATGTTTACCTGGTGCTTTTTCAATTAAACGTTCCTGGGACAGTCTGGGACACCCACTGTCTATTTTTCTAATCTGATGCAACTGCTTGTGGTGTCCAGAGAAGATAAGCAACAGACTCAGTGCAGAAGACAGCCATCCTAGATCACATCAAAGCTCTATCTAGATCAGTATCTGACAATGGCCAGTGGGTTAAGGACAGCACAAGCTTACATGGTTTGCCCTCCAGAATATTTTCCCAGCTTCTAGCAACTTCTGGTTTAGGAACTTTATAAAATATAAAGGCAACATTAATGGTGTCTTTATATTTAATATAGTTATTTTATATACATATTTCTCCTAGTTACTTGTTTTATCGCTTTCTCAGTCCTTGCAAACAACATACTGTTGTAGGTTGCAGATTTCAGATTCTGTGGCAGCAAACTAAAACAAGGGGTTTTTTTTACTGCTATGTAAGTGAAGTCTCATCATCTGGGGTTATTTCACACCTAATGAAAAGGCTATGCTTAATTGTATTCTGATTTCAAAGAAACAATTAAGTTCTTCAGGTTTGGATATCAGTGATTCAGTAGACACATTCTTTACTGAGTCATTAAAAACATCATTACCTCAGCATGTGGATATTGCTGGAGGTATCAGCCTTAATACTGAATAAAACCTCAAAGTTCTCAGCACTCTGAGACTTTAAGAAAGAACTGACCCAGCTTGAGTATTGCCAGCTCTGCCTCCCTCAACCTGCATGGCTGAAATGACCTTAATATGCTAATTTTTACATCTTCAGCTGCCACATATACTTGCTCTATTTGATGATTGCCCTGTCCTATCCAAGAGGAAGCTGTAGGGAGCTGTACTTGAGAGCCAAAGCACGTGATTCATTAAGACCTCACTCCATTTTATGACTATGGTACTGTCTCTAATTACTGAATAGATTAAACAAGCTAAGCACTCCAGCAACCTGTTATTAAGATTACCTGAAAACACAGCTGAGTCTAGCTATTAGAGGTGTGACCAACTCTAGTTTGAAAAAAAAGACATCTAAATGAGAGCAACTCCTCCCCTCCCATCCAGTCTCACCTGACTTCTGCTGATCCGTCACACCCTTAACATTTTTAGCTGAGTTAAGATGAAACTACAGAGGAAACCATGAGTTACATGTGATTCAGCAGCAGGTTAATATGATAAAAGGAGGGTGTCCTTGTTCCTTTACTAATGTGCTCTGCACAGCAACTCCTCTCTTCCACCACAACACTGGCTATGCTTGCTAGCTAGCACTGGAATCAGTTCTGTTAATAGAAAACATGCCTGTATGAGCCCATCCTCTCGAGTACATGCTGCTACTAAGTGCCTGATATGGGAGCTTCTGCAGAGTCGGCAGGAAGTGAGTTTACTTAGCCGGGATTGCACTGCAATCGACCGTGAGCACTCTCACTGCAATGGTGTCAACACACCAGCCCAGCAAAGGCAAATAAAACCTTCCTGCTGTCACAAGCATTTGATTCTTGCAAAAATAGGTCATCCAGAAAAACAGACTGCTAGAAGCACACAGACAAATAAACAGCTTTTGGACATGTGTGGCAGAATGGGGAAATACCTTAAAAAAACAGAACCAGTAATTCAGTGGGAGAAATAATCTTGCTATCCCAGGATTCCAACTGCCACATTGAAGCCAGTGTGAATACAGCCTATGACTTCAGCGTGCACAGGATCAAACTCCCGGGACTTAGTTCTGCAAGGCATTAGGCACTCCTGTCCAGTGCTGAAAGCACTGGCTTTTCTGTAGAAGCTCAGGGCCTTTTAGTGCTGATACTTCCTGAAAGTTAAAGATAAACAAACGCATGGGTGCAATACAGGAGCTAATGACTTCTCACCTGCTTTCGACAGAAACATAAATTGCTGGTTTGACTGATTACAAGAGTGCAAGAGCTCAGTTACAGGTGAGATAGCACCTCTAATCACAATCTCTTCACAATAATAAAAAATAAAGATAACCAGGTAAATAGAAATCTATATTAAATGAAACAAACTAGATCCTTTTTGCGATACCATCTTAATATGTTATTACTTATGAGTCTATGAGTCTATTACTTAAATACCTAAACATTTAAAATTGAACCAATGACCTGGATTAAGGCTTAAGGTCACCACATTCTATTAATTTAAAGTAATACAAATTATGGTCAAGCAGTCCATGTTTGCTGCTGAAGGTGAAAAGTAAAACCATTCTGCTGGAGCCACCAGGAGCCTTGCCTACAAACACAGTGTATTCAATCTACTCCAATTTAGTACTAAATAAATTAAACTAATTAGTAACTAACTAGTTTATTTAAAGTTGGAAAACTCTCCTGATCTGGTTGTTTAAGGAGCCAGAAAGATTGTTTTCCTGGCCTCAGACAGATGAGGGGCTGCCACCATAGGTCTCAGAGCACACATAAGCCCAGCTTGATTCGAGGTAAGAGTACAAAGAAGTGTTATATCTCTGCCTTGCTCTCTCCAGTGCTCCTTTAGGAGCCCAATCACAACAGCTGATTCTGCACACTGCTGCCAGAGCCTTCAGAGGCTGTTGGAGAGGCCTCCACGCAGCCGTGACACAGATAACCTGATGCTGAAATGGAGGAGACATGGATTTGACAGATGTTCATGCAACACTTTGCTTGAATCAATACAGTCTACTGGTCCAAAGTCAACTTTCTACATGGCAAACAAACTGAGGTCAGTGCATCCCCAGCCTTGTTAATCCGCAATCCAGACAAGCCACACGTAGATAACTGAGAATTGATTTCCACAGAGAAATGGTAGACAAATGACTATAAACTGCCTATTCAGTTTTTTATCTAGAAGAAAAAATACATGTTTTAACTATTGTCAGTGATAAACAACTTATTGTTTTGGGTTTTTTTACGAAAAAAACCCTAAAATATCCAAAACAAAAGACAATGAAGTGGCTTATTTAAGGCATGGCTTCTTGTTTGCTGATTTGAAAAGCAAAACAGTGCTACTAAGACAGATCAAGAAGCCTGAACTGTCTCTTAGAATAGAATTATCCACCATAACTTCACACGGATTAAAAAGCAAGTAGAGAAAAGTGAATTTAAACTGGCTCTGGATCCTTCCCCTTTCAGTCTTCTCAGGAGACAATGTCTGGTGGCATTATCAGATGGACTAATTGAGGAAATAGGAAATGAGCTTGAAACAACTATGGCTCAGGCAGTTTGGGAGGAAAAAAAGAAAAAATACTGGTTATCAGCAGAAGATGTCACTAGTAGCTACTGCAGTCATAAATATTAAGGTTTGCTGTTTTCTTTCTTGTTCTTTAGTTATGTGTTGATACCTACTCCGTGGGACTGTGGGCCTAAGAAGGAGGGAAGCTTTATGTACATTAGTTTGGAATAAAGAACAAAATTTTGGCTTTTCTCCTCTTGAGCAGTTGAGTCAATCGATGTGCTCCTAACTGCTGCCCAGAGGAGAAGAGAGCTTTGTTTATCTTCTTGATGTACCACACTGTCCCACATAACATCCTTAACTCTAAATTGGAGAGACATCAATTTGATAGATGGACAACTCGGTGGATAAAGAATTGGCTGGATGGCTGCACACAGAGAGTTGTGGTCAACGGCTCAATGTCCAGCCAGAGACCAGTAATAAGTGGTGTCCCTCAGGGATCAGTCCTGGGACTGGTCTTGTTCAACATCTTCATCACTGACATGGACAGTGGGATTGAGTGCGCCCTCAGCAAGTTTGCTGATGACACCAAGCTGTGTGGTTCGGTTGATACGCTGGAGGGAAGGAATGCCATCCAGAGGGACCTCGACACGCTTGTGAGGTGGGCTGATGCCAGCCTCATGAAGTTTAACCATGAGAAGTGCAAGGTCCTACCCCTGGGTCGGAGCAATCCCAGGCACAGCTACAGGATGGGCAAAGAAGAGATTCAGAGCAGCCCTGCAAAGAAGGACTTGGGGGTGTTGGTCGATGAGAAAATGAACATGAGCCAGCTACATTGTGCTCTTGCAGCCCAGAAAGCCAACCGTATCCTGGGCTGCATCAAAAGAAGCGTGACCACCAGGTCCAAGGAGGTGATCCTGCCCCTCTGCTCTGCTCTCGTGAGACCTTACTTGGAGCATTGTGTGCAGTTCTGGTGTCCTCAACACAAAAAGGACATGGAACTGTTGGAACAAGTCCAGAGGAGGGCCACGAGGATGATCAGGGGACTGGAGCACCTCCTGTATGAAGACAGGCTGAGAAAGTTAGGGCTGTTCAGCCTGGAGAAGAGAAGGCTGCATGGAGACCTCATAGCAGCCTTCCAGTATCTGAAGGGGGGCTTATAAGGATGCTGGGGAGGGACTGTAGTGACAGGACAAGGGATAACGGATTAATTCTTAAACAGGGGAAGTTTAGATTGGACATAAGGAGGAAGTTCTTTCCTGTAAGGGTGGTGAGGCACTGGAATGGGTTGCCCAAGGAAGTTGTGAATGCTCCATCCCTGGTGGTGTTTAAGGCCAGGTTGGACAAAGCCTTGGGTGACACGGTTTAGTGTGAAGTGTTCCAGCCCGTGGCAGGGGGGTTGGAACTTGATGATCTTAAGGTCCTTTCCAACCCTAACTATTCTGTGATTCTGTGATTCTGTGACACAATAAATTGTAAAGGAACTGCAAGAGAACAATCAAAATTATTTTAGCTATTGGGAGCAAATCTTTGTAAAAGACCTGGAATAAAAATTTCACACCTCTGTACAAATTCAGTTTTTCCCCAAAGGTAGGACTGATCACCTATGCGGCTGCGGGTTGGTATACGACAAACTCCTAGAGAGTTCATTCAGTTCAGCACCACTCTGAACAATAAAAAAGCCTTTGTAGCAGTTTTGCTAAACGTTATCTTCTTACACCTAGTTCTGAATTATGTTTACTAATGCTTGGTTTAAGTTGAAGTCCAAACCATTTCTCTAGGGCAAAAGGCCAACCGTGCACCCACTGGTCATAAATCCTCTCTGTTCCCCTTGCATTTCTGCTGGTCTCTTTTTCATGCTGAAGAGCAGCCATTCAAAGAGACTGAGTGAAGTTTTTTTCATGCACAGTATTACATTAAGTTATGGTTTTAATTGCTTTTCAGCTGCTTTGCATCTAACCCTGAAGAACACCTCATTGCAAAAGCAATTACACACTCCACTCCTTGGGAAGAGTTAAAGACAAGCTATAATGCAAGTTAGCTCCTCATGCAGAGTGTGTTTGCCAAACCACTGTCTCCCAGTCCTTGTTCTCTCTGTTCCCGTAAGAAAGATACTGATGGACGTAATTGATCTTCAACATGAAGTAGCAGCAGACTTTATTTCTACAGAGAATCCAGATATATTACACAGACAGGAACATTAAAGACATGCCAATAATTCCTACAGCATTTATTATACTGTTATCTCAAACACTAGTTGAATTAATAGTTATCTGTAAAATATACACTCGTCTACACTAAAACACTCATACCAGATACAGTAGGTCTTTAAAAAAAAAGGTAAACTTCCTTTTTCATTCAACAGAATTTTTCATGAATGAATCTTTTGGAACAAACCCACATTTTTGCTTTCCCCATTGATATTTATTAGTAAAGGCTATTTCCTAATAGGAAGCAAAATGTCAATGACCTCCCTCAGCAAATTAGGTTGTGGACTTTAAACGTGCTTAAATATTTCAAGTGCAAATTTACCTTTTGTTTGTGGGGAAAGTCACTGAAAGTCATTCGGCAGTTAGGCATTTCTGACTGGCTGCCAACTGAAATACCAAATATTCATGACAAAATTTCTCCTGTGAATGGACAAGACTTGGCTTTAGCAGATCCAAGTAGGTGTGGAGAAGCATAGAGAAACACATTCCTTTCCCAACCTCATGAAAGCTTCTCTGCTGCTTGAGTCTTCAGTAATGAGTCTTCAGTAATATTCCAAGACCAAATAACAGGGCAAATTCTGCTTGCCCAACTCAGATAAGCTTTTACAGTAAAGTCAATGAAATACGTCTATAATCCAGGTTAGAAAGCTTTGTCCAAGTCTTTGGGCAAAACCAGATGGAAGTATTCAGAAAACAGAGGGTTACTGGGATAAAGGTCTGATGGAGAGTGAGAAATGTCCTAGGCTACTCATACCCATATCACCAGTGTCACTAAACACAGCACCCAGGGAAAAGGCACGACTTGAAGAAGGAACTAATTTTCATGAATGGCTGCCAGAAAATGAGGATCAGGTGCCGCTATACTATTACTACTGGTTGTTTACGTACAAGAAGCAGGAAAAAAAACTGCAGAGAAATAGGATTAGTAATACTAACCTCAAAATCACAAGGAAAACTGTCAGTACCTATTTAGTATGTTAACAAATACCAAGCTGGAGAAGGGAAGTGGTACCATTTTTAGCCTGCTTTCTTAATGAAAAAAAGATTTATTCAGCCTTGCTGCCTTTTTAGTATTCACTTTTCTACTTATCCTATACCTTTAAAGCCACTGAACAATTTTAACCAGATTTTGCAACTGGATAAAGATCACTCTGAAATAAAGTTCAAGATGTTTTCAGAATGAAGGGAGCAAAGAAAAACACAGAACATACATGCTTTTTCATAAATTCCAGTTACACGGGGAAATACCTGACATGAGTTTACAAGAATCTACAAAGGAGCTTACAAAGACTCCAACAAGAAAAGTTGCAGTCAGTGTGCCATCAGTTGATAGGTGTGAGCTCATGGGAGACTTCAGCACAACCCTTATTAAATGGCCTGGTGGTGAACTGAAGTGAGACAGACTTTCCAAGCAGGGAAGGCAAAACAGGCAGTGGTACAACTGAGCTCAGCAGATCTGCTCCTCTGTAGCTGCTCATTGTCAACTCACCACGCCATTTGTAGAGATGGATGAGAAGTGGGTTACATCAGAGAGGGGATACAGATGAAAACAGCAAAGTGATCTGTGTTACATGGCTCATGCCCCCATTCTACTTCACAGGAAGAGCTGCAAGTACACTGTAGGGACTGGCAACAAGGATTACTATGCAGGAGCAGAGATAGGGCTGACTACCTGGGTAATGAATGCTCGCTCAGAGACAATCTGAGCTTCAATGCACACACTGTAAAGGCAAACAAAAATCTGGGACCTGCAGTAAAAGATGAAGAGGAGTGGAGGAGTGGATGATGGCACTGTGGTAATAAAAGGCTTAAAACAGATTGTGAAGTTTTACTCAGTCTGAGGGATACTTTGCACTACAATTAGTACCAATGAACCCGGTGGAACTAATGATAAAGTAAGATACTAGACAGTGTAAGAGCATCAGAGTTTTGTCCCTAAGGAAGTAAAACTCTAAATTATTCTTATTTTTTGAAGACAAGAATAAATAGCGGAACTTTGAAAAAATACACTGAGAATTTCAAACAAGACAAATAGTTGTTAATAAAACTCTCTTATATTAAGGGTTTTTTTTTCTTGACCTACAGACAGACACTTGTTCTACTAAGACATGCATGAAGCAATGGCGCTAAGAAACTGTGCAATTCTTTCAAGACTACTCAGTGCAGTATAAGCTCCAGGCTGCAGCTACACAGAAGCTGAACTAGAGTCAGGTCTACATAACATCTAAACTGTGGAGTTTAGTTTTCACTTTTCCTTACGTCACAACCATTTTCATTAACCTGTGTACAAAGAAAGGCTGAATTAACTATTAATAGCCTCTTCAGTGATAAGTCTTCATTACGGTCTGCTCATATATGTGTAGATCTTTATAGCGTACTTTGTAGCTTAGCTGATAACACATGCAACAGTCATCTGGTAAGGTTTGTACAAGGTATATATTAGATGTACAAATACACTTTCCATGAACACTGCAAGCTTGTGATCTTCAAAACAGCTTCAGACATTTAGATCTATTAATGTTAACTTAGGAAGTTTGTACATCTGTGGAAAATTCACCCTTGACATCCAAAGACAGGCTGGTAAATAAATGCCTTGTTTTTCAACAGGGCTAAGTCCCAGTGGAAGTCAAGCACTTTTGAACACAAAGTCAGTGAACAGGGCAACCTCCCCCTTCACACTTGTAATCACAGGACCTCCCAGCTGGAAAACACAGTTCATCTGTAATTAGAAACAAATACAGGCATGACAGTTATTTATACTAACCCCACTTTATACAGTCTGAGCAGAAGTGGTGTTGTATTTATCAATTTTATTTAAGCCTTTACCTTGCTGGGCCACTATGTCCATCTTTGTCTTATGTGCATGCAAGTATAACATTGCTCATGTTTACCCAATTAGACAGCTAGCTCCACCCGACTATGAACAAACAAAAAACAACTGCTCATAGCATTCCAGAGAAACAACACAGTGCAAGAACAAAGATTTCCACATGCAAACACAGGCAAGCAGCTAACCACAAAGCAGCAAAACCAGCAGATACTTATATGTTAAAAAACAGGGACAAGTTCTCCTTGGTATCCACAAATATCTGTGCTGATGATTCAGATGTAAGGGATAGATGCCTGCCTGATTTTTCCAGCTGAGATTCCTCCAGTGAATGGGAGAAAATTAAATACATATTCAGTTGAATAGATGCCAAGGCTGACTGATGATGAGACCAACAGCTCCTCAGATGGGAGGCAGAGACTTTTTAGTTTCTCAGATGGGACCCAAAGCTATTCTATCTTGAGGCATTTTGAATTTGTCTGTTCTGCCTCCTCTGATGGGGTTATGGCTCTTTATTCTGTGTGTTTGCTTCCCGCTTGCTGGATGTGGAACCCAAGAGGTTAATGCACACTTGCCATAAGGTCTTTTTGCAACCACAGTTTCTGAGCCTCTGAAACAGACGTGAAGGCATCAATCTCATCTTTGCAAATGTCACGAACACCTGACCTTGTGAGGCAACACACAAACAAACCTGACCAAACAGTGAAGTGAGAGCGAGTTCTGGACCTATAAACCATTCTGTGTGGTAACAGGATAGAAACATGTATGTTTCTATCATATATCTAACATATATGACCTCAAAGCTTGACTCTAGTCTACTTCGCTTATTTCTGATTGAAGAAAGCAGAAGCTTTTGCTTCAGTCAGAGGAGAGAAATGGGCATCTCCCAAGGCCAGTCCATCCAATATGGAGCCTTCTGGAGGCACTATTTCTCCCTGCCCTCTCCAAGGGCAACCCAAAGCAACAACTACTAACTTTGGCACTTTCATTTCATGCATTGATCTGAGCAAAGTGAGTGGGAGCAGTGCATGTTCCCAAACCCTGCAACTTGTTCTCCTATGTGTTTTGAACTCCTTCAGTAATTTGCATAAGCAAAACATCCCAAAATAAGCCTGAATAAGCAAGTGAAGCTGGCAGTGTGCAGCTCAGATCATCATCATCAACAAGATGAAATTTAGAGTACCAACCAAGGGACTTATTTGATTTATTATTCTTATTTGATTTAAGACTAATCTGTTAGCAGGATCTGTAAAACCAGTAAAATTTACTGTGGCATATTTGAAGCCGTTAAATAAGGTCCAATCCTGCATTACAGTGATAGCGAGACTCACATCAGCATATAACTAGTACAACTTAGCACGTAATTATGTCCTTGGAGTTTGCATGCAAGTGGCCTGATCTCATTCTTACAAGTAAAGTGTGTCCCTTTTATGAGTAAAAGGGTTTGACTTTAAATGCATTTTTCAGCATAACTTGTCTTCAGCAGTTTCTAAAGTATAGCTCTGGGCACAGCTTTAGGCTTTCCATATGCTGCACTCTTTTAACTTAAAAGTTCAGGTCAGCAATCTGAAAACACACCTAGCAGCAATTCTTAACACCTCAGTATAGTGAACTGCATTTAAGAGTACTGATGTAATCATCGAAGTGGGAATCTTTAGATTTTGCCTGAAAATTGGCAACGTTTACAGCACCTCCTCTAAGCTCTCTCATGCCATCAAAACGTTGTCCTGGGAGATGAGCTGTAGATGTCTTAAAGGTCTCTTTTCTTAAAAAAAAAACAATGTGCATTGAGTAGAATCACTCTATGTGAAAAGCTCTGGAAGAAAGTGTTTCCCATGTGACAGTAACAGCTCTAAGCTCTTGGCCACTGCGCTCCAGAATTCAAGGGACATGAAGACATACAGATAAAACCAGAGTGTGCGATACTGAGTCTATTCTCGGTAGCCACAGCTCTGCTATTTATAGTTATTAGCAAGGTCAGGACAGTGAAGGAAGGGGCAGAACAGAGAACTGCTCATCCAATTCAGACCTGGGCTGTCTATCAGACTTGGAGACTGCATCCAGCCTTCCTAGATGGAAGCAGGTCTTCTCCTGATACGTTCAGAAGAGTCTGAAAAATTAGGATGCTGTACAACTGCCTCTTCTCCTCTGCAACTACTCATTCTAAGCTGAATGGCTACAGGAGAATGACACGACATGTCTCCCTCACTGCAGCATGAGTTCTCAAGCTTTAAAGCATGTACTGGGGCAGTAACTCCTTTGTGGCAGCTTCACAGTTAATCCCATGAGCTAGCAGATGAATTCCAGAAGCATCTTCCTCAGGCAGCTGTCAAGAATATGTGGGAAGGCTGCCACTGTGAGAAGAGAAAGAGTTCTGGAACTGTGTGCCACGAGCAGAGGGCTGTAAGGGCAAAGTATGCTGCAGTCCTTGAGGAAATTTCCCTTTTATCTTAGATGGGAATGACAGAGTCCCAAGTCACCAACTAAGTGAAAAACATTTGAGTTTACAATCAACCATGGCCATGCTTCCACACACAACATGGAGCAGCCCTTTTGCCACACCCAATGTTGTAGGAGGACTGGCAATAGAGATTTACTTAGCTTTCTTCTGCAAGTAATGTTTCCATCAAGAAATAAATGCATACAAAAGACAACATTCCTTCTGGTTTGGGTTCTTTTTAATCATGATATCTCTATTTACTGGCATGATGACGCCTGTTTATTCCACCTGTTCTTTAGACTACCATCACTTGGACTATATTGTAAGAAACTGGACATCCTGTCAGATGACAGTTGACTAAATACTCAATTACAAAGGCATTATAGCCAGCAATTTTACTTACAAGGAAACCTGCTCCTTACAGTGCTCCACTTTTACATCACAGATAACGTAAACATAAAAATAAAAAAAGGATGGGAACACCACTTCTAACTAGTATTTTTAAAGATCCAGAGGCAGTATAAATAAATGTATAAATGTAAATCTGGCAAGACCAGAACTCCCAACAATTTTTAACCACACCTGAACAGAATAGCTTGCCTCAGTAACACTGCTCACGCCAGCCTCACAGACCCGCTATCATCATCAAAGCAGTAACTGTTTTCAACAACAATATAACCATCAAATAGTGTTTTTTTTCATAATGAAGTTTAGATTACATCATCGTCTTGAATATTATGTATGAGCTCATTGAACTTACTGCTCCATAAATATGCAGAAGAGTGGCAATGAATGAAGCCAAAACCGAGGCAGAGACGCTGCCTTTGTGTCAGGACAGAGGTTCACTGACAGTGAGTCAGTGCCCACAGCTGCATGTGGGATGTTGATTAGCTAATTATACGATAGTTGTTACATGAATTTATAGACACTTGAAGACTGCATCTACATATAATTATTCTTTCTGTTTCGTTCTGGTAAAAAAAGCAGCTAGAGAAATGTCGGCAACTAAACAAAAAAACTTCAATTACATTTGTCATAGGACCACTACAATATTATTAACTGCACAAAGACAGAGCTTTTTTAGGACAGCTTAGGGTGTAATTGCCATGCTCAGACGCCAAGTATAGCTTCTCACCCTCAGATTATGTAAAAGCAGCCGTGTTTTCAAGTTCTGCTCTCTGTGGATGACTCACATTATTATGTACTAACAACCAACACATTCTGTTTTACCCCTTTGTTTTACATGCCTGGAGTGTTCTGGCTGGAGTTTGTCTTGTTCAAATCTGTATGTGCTGCACACCGCTTATTGTACCATGCAATCACTCCTTGTCCTTCTCCTTTTTAGCTTTTAATGAGCTCCTGCACTGGCACTTGGGCAATTTCCCAAAACTACCCTTCAGAACTCCAAGAAGGCACCATGAGATCTGCAGGCAGCACTGCAGATTCCTGAGAACTGGCACAGCTACACTGGAGACCTCTGATAAAGCAAAGACCTCTGATAAACTGCTGCTTGTGTCACAAGATTTTTTGAACTCTTGCACATGCAGCTGGCATCAGGAATCAAACAATGCATGTCACTAAATCTTTTTATGGAGACACAGGAGATTAAGACTTATCTTATGACTGGGAAGGTTTCTATTCTCTGTATCAACAGGAGAAAGTCCTGAAGGTGAATAAACTCCAAAGTCTCCAATGAAGCAAAGAGAGGGCAGCTTTTCGCATAATATGGGCCTTGCTCTGTGATTCTCTACCACTGCCTTCTGAGACTGCATCAGCAGCCAGCTCATTTTTTATCTACTTTAAGTAAGGAGAAACATAAAATGTCTAAATATCCTCAGCTTGCTATGTAAGAGGCCCATTAAAGACTCTCGGTGAGACAAGCATGTTGTCAGATTTCGGAACATCACAGATTTTAATACAGAAAGCATGAAAGAACAGGTGAAATTATTTATTTATGTAATGAGTAGTGATGCCAAGTACTTCCAGATCCTGCTGTCTTTTCTAAGGAACGAGATAGAAATAATGACATCACTAATCTTGCAAAGACACGTGAGCACTTCTTTCCAGAAATAACTGTTAAGCATAAAATTTCAGTCATTAATCAAAGAGCACGGGGGCCTAACCCTTTTTAGGATTCTAAGAGGAAACGTGAAGCAATATGACTGTAAAGCAACACAAATGTAAGGGGCACTTAACCTTTATTCTAAGCAGGTAACTTCAAGAAAAGCACGCCTGGGGCCAGTTTCTCTCTACTAGTGTAGATTTGTATTGATTCTGCAAAGACGCAGCAAGTTTTACCATTTCAGAGGTTGGTCTCTGCCTGGAAGAAAGAAGGGCACCACCACATGATATCATGAATATGAAGAAAAGAAAGTAATAAAATATGCTGCAGGAAGGAGCAGAAGACACATACCCATGAGGAAAGAAAAACATAGGATAAACAAAACGCGTAAGAAGCTCTTTCAGGAAAAAGAACTAGCAGACGCAGCACAAGGGAATGTGAACTCTGCACAGACACTGAAAATACAGGTAAGACTCAGGGAAAAAAAATATTAATACAGATGGTGCTTTTTTTTTTTTTCCAAAATAGAGTAGAGATGTAGCACAAGCCAGGATGAATTATCTTTGTTTCCCACAGGTCAACTCCAGAAAGAGAGTGCTTACAAAGATGAGTCGTTTTATCTCAGATCCACAGTCCTGTTGATAAATCCCAAAGTGATTCAACAAGAAGGAAAATTTCACAGGGAATGAGTCCCAGCCCTTATTTGGAGCAGCAGAAGGTATTGCTTAGCGGTCTGGGGAGACAAATAAACTGCCTGGGCCAATTCAAAACTTGCACATAGTTGCCATGAAAGGAAGTGTTGTGTCTGCATGTGATTTCCTGGAACAAATCAAATGTTTCTGCAGAGAAACCCATAAAATGCTGACAATATATTAAGGTTGTTTTCTCTGAAAGCGGTTATCTCAAACTTGTACTACAGGTCTGCTGGATCAGGGGAAAAAAAATGAAGAAAGGAAGATTGTGTCTTAAAAATCTGACAGAAGAACCCAAACAATTTTAGTGTACAAGACCAAAAGCAAAAGCTCTTTCAGTACACTACTGAGATAAAACAGCAACAGAAACTGATAATATACAATTCCATATACAGCAGACACATATACAGCAGTCCAGCAGTAAAGTCTGCAAGAGGGAAAGGACTGGGCAGATCCCAAGCTAGGCAGGGTACTAAGGCTTTTCTGTCACTTCCGACAGTGGCACTAACAATTTGTCCATCCCCAACACATTGAGTACGTTGTCCAAAGCCACATGGTTCAGCTGTCCTGACTCTTTGCATCCCAGATAGAACTGAGCAGCAATCAGAAGGGATAGTCATATCCCAAATTAATTCTACACTTCATGATATACAGAGGAACTGCCTCTTTCTGTATCTTGAATTGATTCTGTATTTTTATTTGTCACATGTATCACATTGATAAAAGACAACTGGAACCAGCACTGGACCAGCATTGAACACCGATTGTCCAAGAACTTTGGTCATCATTCTGTCCATCACAGGTGCGGCTAGCAACCATTCTCAAATCTCTTTGGGAGCCACTGGGCCCTTTATTCTTTCCAAATGTAATAGGGGCATACCTCACGTGAAAGAGAACATCTGCTGGCTCCAGTGAGGCCAGATAAACAAGAAATCATTGCTACTGCATCAACACACTAACCCCCAAAGTGCCTTGGAAAAACACCATGAAATGCCTAGCAGCTGAGTCCTGCTACGTGGGTAACTTTCAGTGCTAAACTCTAACACGATGTATGGCGCATAGGGTTAACCACCTCTGCAGAATCCAGAGGGTGAGCTTGTAATTTAACTGTGTTTTCATGGCTACACTAGGCCAGGAGCGTGATGACCCAGGCTCTGCAGGTGCTGGCAGAGGAGCTGCTCAGGTTGGCAGCACAGGTAACAGGATGCTGGGACCTGCTGGGCACCCCATGGCTGGTGCCGATGCAGTGTCTGTGCTTGGCACCATCTTCGTAACACAGCCACGGGTTTGACAGGATCTCTTTACACCCCCATTTCAGAATTACAACAGTCAGGATCACCAACCCCTTCATCTTTCAGAGACGCCACAGCAGACGCTTTCACCCTTCCTCATGACTAACTGTCATCTCCCTAAGGGACAAGCCACCATGGCGGGCTGTAGAGGCCACCATCACCACTCCTGTCACCACCACATCTCCACCACCACCACCACCACCACCACATCGGGGTGCAGCTCGCACCGGGCTCTCCTCAGGGTTCCCCCTCACGGAACGGTTACAACCGGGGAGCCCAGAGGGCGTCCCGCGCACTCCCGCCCCGCCCGCCATTGGCCGCGGTCCGGGGCGGGGGGGAGCACGACCCGACCCGGCCCGTCGGCGCCGCGCGGTCCTGCCGCCGTCAGCCGCGGTGCGGGCGGGAGCGGCGGGGGGGAAGGCGGGTGGTGTGTCCCGCACGTCATATCAGCCGCCCGGCCCGGATTGGCTGCGGCGTCTCACCCGACTGGCCGCGGGCGCCCGGGCTGGCGCGGCGGCTCCCGCGCTCGGCACTCGCGCCCGGCCCCGCCCCGCCCGGCGCGGCCCGGCCCGAGGGGAGGGGTGGCGGAGCGAAGCGGCGGGCCCGGCGCTGCCTCCGGCCGCGGGTAGGTCGGCGGCGGGTAACGTGACACGCGTGGCTGGGGGCTTATAAACCTTACACGGGCCGCGGGTTGGCGAGCCGGGAAGGAGGCAGGAGAGCGGCGGCCTTTCGCCGACCCCACACGGGCTAAGGCGGCGGCGGGCGCAGCCCCCTGAGGTGAGAGGGCGAGGAGGTCCGCGTCCCCCGTGCCGGGTACACGCCGGGATGCGAACCCTGTCCCCGAGGGAGAGGGGACAGTGCGGGTCTGACGGGAGCGGCGGGTCCTTGCTGGGGCTCCGCAGCTGACAGGCCGAGGCAGCGCGGCCCGTGGTCCCCGAGTCACCCCGTTCGTGCCGGGCTCCCGCCTCCCCCGACCCGCCGGCTCCAAGCCGTTTGCCCGGTGCCTTTGGAGCCCTGGCGGAGAGGGTGGTGTGTGTGAGGGGTCGGGCCGTCCCGCGTTTGGTGTTTGACAGCCTGTCCCTGCGCGTGTGTTTCAGGACTGCGGTGAAGCCGATGCCCAGGTTGGAGAACGGCGGCTGGAGCTGTTCCTGCGCGTCCCGGGGAAGGCACAGAGCCCAGCCGGGGGACACGGCAGCGGGACTGGCCGCCAAGGTGGGGGGGATGCTGAACTCCTCCGGCTCAAGCCCCTCGCTGACGCTGGTGGGTACCAGAGAGCGCAGCCCCAGCACCGCCACCAGCACCACCAGCAGCACCTTGAACTGGAGTCAGCACCTGGTGAAGAGGAGCGTGGTCCTCTTCGTCGTCGGTGCTTTCATGGCCCTGGTGCTGAACTTGCTGCAGATACAGCGAAATGTGACTCTCTTCCCCGACGAAGTGATTTCTACTCTCTTCTCCTCCGCCTGGTGGGTGCCGCCGTGCTGCGGAACAGCAGCAGGTGAGTCTCTGACCTCCACGCGTGATTTAGCTTGGTTTCCTCCTCCCCATCCTCCCGTGGCGAGGAGAGGCCGTGGGGCTCAATGTGTGACCTTCGTGAGCCCTTCCATCGCACAGCGAGTGATGCAGAGTGTGTATTTGGGAAGGACGCGTGCCCACGCCAGCTTTATCCACCTGCGTGGATAACAGCTGGCGTTTCCCGCGTGTCTGAAGGCTCTTTCCGAGCCGGTGCACTCTGTATGTGTGTGAGGTGACTTTTATTCCGCAGCGTGAGCCGCTCCCCGCGCACCTAACGCCTCGTTCCCGCAGGCACAGCGGGGTTTACCCGCTCTTCCCCCCCATCCCTTTAGCCTCAAGGCGGGCACGGGTGGGCGGGGTGGGGCCACGTGTCTCCGCCCCTCGCCCGCCATTGGCTGATGGCGAACTGGTGAGTGGCGGGAGGCTCTCGCCATTGGCTGGCGGCGGGAACTGGCCACGGGCTGGGCCGAAAACAAGGAAGTCACGTGCGGCTGAGTTGCTGCCCTCACCACCAGCACCCGTGTCAATACGGTGGTACGGAATGTGTTAATTGAACTTCGTTATAAGGACGCGTGAATGGTAAACCATAACCTCGAATGATAAACTGCCCGGTAGATAGGTTGCCGTGGTTTATGCTCCAAAGTTCTTGTAGTGCTGTCACAGTTGGATTGAACTTCGGCATTTAGCTGTTATCTTAAGGTGAAAGTTCTTTAATCAGAAGGATTAAACTGTTCCAGAATCAAATCTCATGTCTGCCTTGGAACAGTTCTTCTTGTAGCTTTCTGAGTATAAAAGTTCTTCTTAGATGTTTAAGGGGGATGGGGGGAAGAGGGTAGGAAAGGACACACAGACACACACAGACGTTACAGATAGTTAAAGCAGCATGTCTAACGTTGGAGTAGGTGACAACACGTGGAGTCACAAGGCTTAAAAAAGTGAAACTCATTTAGTGCTTGTGCCAGCAACTGAGCTAACACTAGCCTGTATTTTTCTTCTGCAACCAATCTGCAGACTGATAAAGCTAAGAAAATGCTATATGAAGATAAAAACATCGTGTGGTTAATAGTATAAGTAGTTATTTTTCCCTGACACAAGTAAGACTGATGGCAGGTGTTTCTCCAAGTTCGGCTCTGCTTGTTTGGTATCTAAATTAGCCTCTGAGTTGGCTGGGAGCACAGGCTGACTTACAGCCCAGCAGAAGGAGAGAAAGCAGTGCTGCCAAGAGACTTCTGCGTCCAGGCAAATATTTAATTCTGAGCCTGATTCACAGCTAGTGAGTCAAGTTCATAAAACTCTCTGCCCTGCACGCAAGCAATAAACACATATTCCATTCATAGCTGTAATTAAGCTTTTGTTACATCTTGTTATTTATTGGTACAAGCATCTCCTCGGGATGTCAAATGATACGTGCTTATGGGAGAAAAGGACCTTGAAGTCAGATGCCTGACATTGCAGTATATATCTCTGCTTTAAAAGTTCTAACAGAATATTGCTTGTTAGATTTCTTCCCTAAAGTAAGGGGGTAATGATTGTCTTTTCTTCATCAGACTTACAGTAATGTGAGAAGCACCTCACTACTTTGTCAAGCACTTATTTGCCAAACTAATATTTAATAATAATGAAGTAATCATTGTATAAGAGTTAGTACAAGTAGTGTTACTTCTCTTGCAGCTGTCGTTGGCCTGCTGTATCCCTGCATTGACAGCCACCTGGGAGAACCGCACAAATTCAAGAGAGAGTGGGCCAGCGTAATGCGATGTATAGCAGTTTTCGTTGGCATTAACCATGCAAGTGCTGTATCCTTGAACTAGTTTTATGTTGTTGCTCCATGTGCTTAGTTTGTTGTCATGAAAACAGTCTCTCCCATTCACATCTGGGAGAATTACAAAGGTAAGGATGGTGCTACTGGCAGAGAGGTAAACTTCTGAGAGACCTGCAGCACACTGCAATAGTTACTGTAAGATGGATAACAGGGTTCACTTAAAAGTATCTGGAACAGGGGAGGGATAGACATCATAGTATGTCTGATTTAACTGCAAGTATAACAGTATAAGTTGTGTTATTTTAATCAATATGTTGCCTGCGTCTTGTCAGTTAATTGTGTTAACTGTTGACATACACTGAACTTCTCAGTAAGAGTGTTCTTTGTGTGAGATAATGATGGTTTCAGCAGAACACCTAAATCAGCGAGGATAACTGGGTCACTTGAGGTAAAAGTCCATAAAAGTTAGATATATTGCAACATAGCATATTCTTTAAATTCTCAATGTGATAAA